TATTATATGTTATATATTATATAGTCTATATTATACCTAGCTAGCTAAGCCTCGAATCTCGTGTATCTCGTGTGAACGCATTTCAGCCGAACTCAGCACCAACTAAGTACGGAACCAGCGAGGCCGTGTATACGTGTGAACGCAGCTATAGGCACAGCCATAAGGCGAGCTTTTTTTTATTTTGTTGGTTTACAGATCCGCCGACCCGAGTTTTCAAGAAAAGCGGAAAAAAATAAAAATTGAAAATCTGTATTTTTTTTTATTCCCGCCGACCTTTTCTCTAAGAAATATGAATAAAAAAATGTAAATGTAAAAAACAAAACATTTTATAAACAGTTTATAATAAAAGTAAAAATAATTAAAAGTTGAGTTTTGTTTTCATTTAGTTTTCTTAAAATACTTTAATATCATGTATAACAGTATCACTGTATTTTGATTTGTTTGATCCTCTTTTTTTTACCCTACCGAGTCAACAACAACAAAAATTATGTAAACCCCCCCCCAAAAAAAGGTGGCCTAAATATATAGAGACATAGATATAGATAGAGTCATAATAGTGTGGTATATAAACACGATGGTGATGGCTGATGCTGGCCGAGTCTAGCTCTATTGACTAGTTGAGGCAGACGCACAGGTAACATTAGGCAGGCAGGTAGGGAGACAGGTGAGTGTTACAGGTACACTTACCTGCTCAGGGAAGGTGGTTTCCTGCAGGTCCGTGTCTTCCTCGGCGTACAGCAGGATCGTCTTGAGCGACCTGCGCAGGTATTCCTCGTTAAACTTCTGATTGGTGCCGACGAGAGAGCTGAGAGACATCGTCACCTGCATCTTCACGCGCGCAAAGTTCTGAAACATATCGCAACGATCAGTACATCAGTGACACTACGGCAGCAGATTGGCAGTCGAAACGACAGCACCGGCATTTTACCTTTTAAAAAAAACATGTACTATTACATTCGTTACATACGATTTACATACATTTATACCTCGTTTTACGCAACGAAATGAAATCTGACGAGTTTATTTCAGGACCTTTGGCACAGACGTTAGGTAAACGATGACAAGAACAAACGGAAATGCTAAACCCGGCGTCGAACACTTACGTTGCCGATCTCGAAGTTTTGTCTCATGAGCAGATAGAGGGAGGCACTGGCCTGTGAGCGTATGGAGCTCAGACTGCTGCTGCAGTGTGTGAGTAAGCGTAGACACAGGTCTGCACACTGCTCCGTCTCCTCGTCAAATAGCAGCTCGGGAAACTACAAGATAACAACGTAGCAGATTGTCAGCACATAACATGCCAACTACAGCATCATTGGAAGGTGCCGCCACCTACGTTAATTACTGTCAATAATCTAAGAATACTACTATAATGCATAGTGCCAGCAATTTTATAATTTTTCAACTTGAATTCATCGAACACATACGTAATTAATTATAATTAATATTAATATAATTATTATAACATCTAACGTGTAAGTGGACAATCTAGAAGCAGGAAGCAAGCATCGTCGCTGCTACGCGCTCTTTCTATCTCTCTCTCACCTTGAAAACCAGGGATCGTTGAGAAGCGAATATGTTCTGTAACACGAGCTCACTCTGGCTGCAGGCTAGCATGTGTTGCAGCACACGCAGCACCCCGCCCAGCAGGCTGCTGCCCTGTAGAGTGTCCGACTTCTCCGTTTGCTGCAAACAACGACGACGACATGTGTAAATGCACGCACGCACGCCAAACGCATGCACGCACGCATATACACACGCACGCACGCACGCACGCACGCACGCAATCACGCAGGCACGCATGCACGCACGCATATACACACGCACTACCATGTGTAGCTAGTTGCGCTAACGTAGAGGTCGAAATTAAGAGCAGATCTGTGACCAGAAATGTAAAACTACAGACTTCCCTACTGGAAAAGTTGGAAAAATTCAATTTATTATATTATTAACTTAATATTTTGCTGTTATTTTTCCAGTGGAGAAGTAGTTATAATCGTTTTTGCATTAGTTTAATTTTTAATTACTGCTTATTAAGAAGTATTTATTAGGATTACTGACTACTAATGACACAACGGCACACACACACGCACGCATGCACGCACGCACACACATACCTGCACAATGAATTCCAGCATATCGAGGATGAGGAGGCTGACCTCTGTGCTCAGGTTCCCCTCTATGTGTGCATCATTGTCTATCTCAGCCCGAGGCCTGATATGCGCACATCGTAAACACACGCGTAAACACAAACAACACAACAGCTCAAAACTTAAAATAAATATAATTTAATCTAAAAATTTAAAAAGTACTCTAAAAAGTTTGTAACCTTTACAGAACTAAACCTGTGAAGTCTAAATTGCTTCAAAGGTATATTTAGATGTAATTTTAGAACATTTTCGACTTTACGGTTTCGTTTTTTAGTTATAACGCCGAGGCTCAATAACAACTCTCTGGGTGGGAGGAGAACAAGAAAAAGAAGAAAAACAGAAGAGAAAAAGACAAAAAAGTAGTAGAAGAAGAAAACAGAGAAGAGGGAAAAAAAAGATGACGATTAAAAAGAAGAAAAGAAAGGACGAGGACGAGGCGAATGAGGAGAATA